TATTTAATCAAAATGCAAAATTTTTTTTATTCAATAAAAACTATAAAAAAAAATTATAAGTAAATATTTTGTTTTGTAAATTCTATAATTTGAACCTTTTATCTAAATAAGCCTTTTAATTCATTACTTATTTACACTTATCTAGATATAATTTATTTATATTATTTGAATTATTGTTTAGCAAAACTATGCTTAGAGTATATAAAAAATATATACTTTAAGTATGGTTTTGCTAAACAACAACTTATTTATTTAGAAATTTTTTTATTATTTATTAACTTTAAAAATGCCTGCTTAGATTTAAATACTACTATAATTTATACTATACAGTAGTATATTTTTTTATACTGTATATTAAATAATAGGATAAATAAATTAAAAATATGAAAGTTGCTATATTATGTTTTAGATTAAATTAATTAGAAAATAAAATTTAACAATTTTTTTCAAATTAACAGTTCTAAATAAATAGAGAAGTTTTATTGTTTTTTATTATTTTTTATAATTATTTATTGCACTAATATTAATTATTATTTTTACTATTTTTTAATAAAATAGTTAGTGCCACTTAGCTTAAAGTTGAAAATAGAGCATCTGTTATATAAGACAATTTTTATTTTTTTTTATTGCTATACTTATTATTGTCTTCAAATTAGCTGCTATTATTTGATTCTGATTTTCTTAATTATGCTAATCTCAAACTTTTTAGATTGCACTTATCCAATCATCAAAAAAGATATCAACAATGTTTTCTGAATTGAGCACCTCTATTTTCTAAAAGAATAAAACTTCAGACATTGGTAGTAAATAGAATTTGCAACATACAGCATATATATGTTTGTATGCCATGCTATAAAATTTATAATTTGAGCATGTGTATTTAAATTCTGCTAGTTTGATATTAATATTTTTTTGTATATTGTTCTTAATATTAATTTTTAACTGTTATTATAATCAATAAATGATTTTACAAGATAATATTATTCATTAGGTATCACAAAGCTATCTAGATCTAATCTAGCAAGTTCTTAATATTATTGTTATTTTTGATAAAGTTTCATTTTTTTAATCATTAAATTGACAGCTTTGCATTCAAATTCATATCTGTTAAGGCAGCTTTTAAAGTTCAAATTAGATTATAAATTTGATAGTTTTGTTTAGTATACAGATAAGTATATTTAAATTTTTTGTGTTATAATTTAACAAATTTTATTATATTTATTTTTTGTTATTCATATAACCTATAAACATCAATTCACTTTTTATAATTTATATAATATATTTTTTTTAAATATTCAAAATATTTAATTTATGCTATTTTACTAAATTTAGTCTATTGATAAAAAAAATTATTAAATTTATATTGTACTTGCAAAGTATTACATAGTCATATTATAGTATTGAGCTTATTTAAAGTAGTTTTTTATGCAGTTTGCTTTTTTGTTCATTAAGTTTTATTGTTATAAGCACTAAAATAATTATTATTTTTAAGCTTGCCTTTATTTTTTTACTAGCTATTTTTTATATACCATTGGCAAAGCAAGATTTTTGCATTAGAAAAAACCCAATTAATAGCAATTTGGCATGCATTATTACAGTCTATAAGAAAGATATGTGATACCTAGTTTTTATTTTGATTTTTTAAATTTAAAAGCCAGTAAACTAATATTTTACTTATTTTTTTTCCGAACTTAAATGTACTATAGAAATGCCTTGCTTATTATTATTATCTTGCACTATTATAATAAAAAGATTTTTTTATATAGTGTTATTCTATGGGTTTCTTTTAAATATACAGTTTTAATGCTTTTATATTTTAGTATGCTCTTCTGAAATTCAGTTTAAAACTTATATAGATGACTCAAATCTGAGTTCTAAATTAGATTATTACAAATATATGATTCATCTTCTTGAAATGAGGCAATTTTATTTATTGACAGATATATCTTCATCATAACCTTAATCATTATTATTTAGAAAAATTATAACTTTTATTTCTTTATAGACTATATTATAGACATTGATATAGAATAAATATGCATTTTATTTTTGAGTTAGAGATAAAAAGTCTAGGCTGTCAATATCACAAATTTTATTAATATGTTGATAAATTATTGATAATATTTGTGTTAATTTATCATATTTTGTGCTCTTTTTTTAATTCATTCTTTTGCTTGATGAAATAATTAAATATTTTGTAAATATTCATCAGTTTCAGAAAAATATCTATTATAAAGTATATAATAAACAATGTGAATTAAGCTACCTTTTTTATCATAATATCTTAATACTTTTAAATAGAATTTATATCTTATTTTTTAGATAGTTTTTGAATTAAATAAAGATTATTATGACTTAATAAAGAAATCATAGTTTGATTAATAATTTTAGTTGTAACTTTAGGTTTTTTAGTATAATAATACAGATATATTTTATTTACTTCAGATTTTTTATTTTTTTGTCTATTATGCTGAATATAATATGCTTCAAAAATATTAGAAAGACCATTTTTGATCCATTCTTTATATATATTCAACTCAAGATAAGTATATATTTGAATATTATTATTTTGATTTTCATCTTTATTTTTATCAACCTTGTCAATAATATTAATTATATCAATTAGATCAGATTCACCAGCCATGATGGTTTTTTTTAAAAAAAAAAACTTTTAATATATATTATAAGAAATTCAGTTTAAGATAAAAACAAAAAAAAAATTTTAATTAATTCTAATTTGAAAACATCACATTACTATGATTGCTTTTTATATTTTTAAACATGTTAGTAAAGAAACATTTATTGCATACATTTAGAATCAAATTAGTATCTTTATTCTTTAGATATTTATGAATAAAGATAATATATAGAAATTATAAATAATAACAAAATTGTCAACTTATAATATTGGCAGTTTTGATAAATTAATTGCTATTAGTATTTAAACATGATACAATATGACATTTTAGTAGTTTGATCGCAGCATAGCATTTAACTATAAGCTGCATAGTTATAATGTAGTATTTTATAATGTAGTATAGAATTTACAAATGTATAATCAATTATTAATTTTATAAATAACATATTATTTATTTATTTAACAAATTTACTAATTAATTACTAACAATTTATAATATTAAATAAGTAAACTTTATTAAAATTTTTTTTAAGCATTCAACACTAATTTTTATTGTCAAGATATTCATACTATATGTATTTAGTATTTATGAACATAAAATATTAAACATTAGAATCGATTGTATACAGTATATAGTTAATTTTATATAAATTACATTTTATTAAATATATAACAATTCAAAAAAATAAATAGATAAAATCACGAAAGCAAATAAAACAAATATGTAACTAATAAATACAGCATCAATATGAATTAACTGCATATAAATTAAATGTTATTATAAAATTTGTTATTAAATTCATTCAAAAGATATAAATAGCATAAATAAAATCACGAAAGCAAAAAATACAGAAAACGAAAGCTAAAAATAAAATACAGATAGAATCACGAAGAAATCAAATAAACTACTAAAAGGAAAATGCAGTTGAAATTATGAGCGCAAAAAAAAAATTAAGATAAGATCACAGTAAAAAAATGCGATAATGTCCCAAATCACAGGTAAATAAATAAATAATTTATTCGAAAGATATAAATAACATTACAAATGAAAGATAAATTATATATAAATAAAATAACCACAGAAAAAATGTAGAAATAAAGATCATGAAAGCGAAACAAAAAGCTAAGTGTATAAAAATCACAGAGGCGAAAAAGTAACGTCACAAATGAAAAATAGATTATAAGCAATAAATTAAATATTTTAATAATTATATATTTATATAATGAATGAGAAATAAAGAGAAGGTGGAGTGATAAACAACAAATTGTTAAACGTAGAGCATTTAGAAATTCTAACTTTTAAAGTTAAAAATAACTTTAATATGCAAGCGTTTAATTTGAATCAACCAATTAGATAAAAGTAGGAAATTAACCCATAAGTAGCTGCGCAACGTTGTCGCGCGAAACCAGGAACGGGGGAAATCTACACAGACTCCATTTCAGTCACGGGAAACCATATTCTTCATTGCAATCCATTCCTGGTATAAGAAAATGTCTCTTTACAAAAGAAGTTGATAGTACTTGCAATCTGAATATTGGTTTGAATTTTAGTGACTGGGCCTAAAAACCTATTAATGAAGTCAATGTCTGACTGCTATATAGTTGGTTAGTTAGCATCACTCAATTTCGGTGAATCTGACCCAAAATTCTGGGCCCTGCAAAAAAACATATCTATGTATTTAGAAAGGATCGACAAATTCTTTCGGTTAAGTCTTTGACAATCAGTGATTATCATTTTATCTGCCCGATAAAAAATCTGATGAAAAAAAATGAAAATTACAAAATATTTAGCATTGAGGACTTTAAATTTACATTGGGTCACTAATTTTTGTGACAAAAAATTTCTTTGATTTTACAGATGTACGTGCTCATTTATAAGTTTGTTTTTTTTTTTTTTTTACTAAACCATGAATAATTATTCGGGGTGCTACACAAGGTCACGATGAAGGATAACCCAATCATATGCTAAACCATTTAACTCTTAAGTAAACCATACCCTATGTTTTTTTCATACTCCGTTCCTGGTATAGCTTTATATCACATGGTAGAGGCATGCCTGCCTTTTGTTCAAAGGGCATGTCCCATAGGCATGCTTCTCAACCTTGTGTCCCCAACTCTACTGATAAGGCAATCATAAAAATACTATATAAAGTATAAAATTACGAAAATAAATTGTGGTGTTTTTACTTTTAAGTACGGTTCTTTTCTTGCCTCTTATTTCTTGAAAAGGAAATGTCATGTAAGATTATCGTTATGTTTACATCTACTAGACAATCTGATTGGCAAAAACATACGCGTCTTTCAAGATATAAACCACTTTTTTTTCATGATATCCTATTCGATATCATCTCAAATATCAAAAATGAGTGAAGCATTTGTGCTAACTGAAATTCAAAACGTCACATATTCTTATCCTCAAAAAAATGGAAACCCATTAACAAGACTAGAGAAACAATATTATCGAACAGCTCATGCTTACTTTAATAGAAATGTAGCAGAGTGGAATTAAAAACCTTTTTTTATTTTATGAATAATCGGTGTGGAAAGGTTGGACGTATTAACGCTTTTATAAGATTCGTATATGAAAATTGGCTAGGCCAAAAGCTAAGTGATAAGTCAATTAATGCGGATACTTATTTGCAGAAGTTACGTGAGTCTCAGGTAGGGTTTCCAATTTTTTTTTATTTCTATTTATAATGGTAATGATGAAATACGGTTCAAATATGAAACTATAATAGTGTTCTCTCCTATTATAGTAATAACTCTTCTATTGTAGAGGTGTATCGTTAATAACCCTTCTATTGTAGAGATGCATAGTAATAGCAGAGGTGTGTTTTGTGAAGCGTTTGACCACTAAGACTATTCTCTTGTTTTGCGGTAGAAAACTTAGTTGTTATATGCATTCTCCTGTTTGGCAATAGAAGATTTAGTTGTGGAGATGCATCCTCTTGTTTTATGATAGGAGACATAATATACTGTACTTTTTGAATCATCAGTATAAGACATAAAATCTTTAAAAAGGAATAAAGCAAATATTAATTGTCTTATATGCTTTTTCAAAAAATTTATTGTATTAGGAAACAAAACTTCCTACACGAAAAAATGAACCAGTACCTTTTACGAAAAATAAGATTACACTCTTTAAAAGTGAATATGAACATTTTAAAAAATGGCCATGGGTTATTGAAACACAAGATTCATCTTTCATTGTACAAGCCAAACTCAAAGACATTATAAATGATTATAATGCTGAATATACAAGAAAAAATAATCCCATTATTTCATCAATTCTGGATACGGCCTATCCGGAAGATTGGATCAGAACAAAATTTACCCAAGACGAATGGGATCAGATTAGTAATACGACAGGATGTCTCATTAATAAAGCAGTAAAAAAACAATAAGTGCTAATGGTTTTAATGAACTCAAGAATCACTTGTATTATTTTATTTAATTTATGAGATTCTATAACTATTATCTGTTTATTAACATTTTTTGGTCTTTATTTATTTTGTATTTTAGTAAACAACTAAGAAATACTAAAAAATATTCAAAGCCAAAGAAACGATTAAATGAAGGAAGTTGGCAAGCAGATGTAACCACATTTGCTTTTACCATAATCAGTAGGGAATTCATTGGTATCCAATACGTGAATAATGAACATCAGTCAACTGGCTCAAAAAGAAGAAATTTGATTTCGTCAGATGAAGAAAATTCCGAAATTACAGAGATTAAAAGAGGGAAAAAGCCTGACTTTTTGGTAGAAACAGTACATGGATATCGAAATACAGAAACTTTTCTAAAAAACAAGCTACTGCATTTTCAATACATAATAGGCAAAATTTCCAAAAGCCCTTTCAACCAATCTGAAGAAAAAAGCATCTCGGATATGAAAGACAACTATGATACGATTGTGTCAGCATAGCGGGCTTTATTATGATTGGCTGATTTTTGAAGATCATATTATCATAAGAAAGTCTTATTAAAGTAACGATTTTCTATCACGAGATTGAATTCGAAGCCACGAATACGAATTCCGAGAAGGTAAGACAAAAAAAATCGGAAGTTTATGCTTTGCTTTATAAACTGACAAAGTAATTCGATAATTCACGAGGTAATTCGGAAGTTAGATGAGAGGTATGTTTGAACGTTTCAATTTAGCAAATAAGTCATAAATATAACATACGAATCTATTATTGAGTTTAGTAATTTGTTTTTTTTTTGAGTTATTTTCGCTAATTTATCTTATTATGAGTAATTTATGATCCTAAAACAGATACTACGAGTGGAATAGTTTAGTGGGATAGTTTAGTGGAATAGTTTAGAAATAGTTTAGTAACGCAGCTTAGCAACACGCTGTGTTCTGTGTTGAAATATAAGGTTGTGAATCTCGAGATTAGAACGTAATACCACGTTTAAGATTATTAATTAAGGTTAAAATAGTTTTACACCAATAAAACTAGTATTTCGATTAAAGTTAGTTTATACGTTTTTTGTTAGATTTTAGTATATTTTCTGCATCTTTCTAGTTTTTTTTTCGTCTTTTTTTTTGTTTTTTTTTTAATTCGTGTATTTATTTAATAAGATCCTTGTTTGTGGGATCTTGTTTGCGCTAGGCTTAGTGTCTTAGACTCTTAAATGTGAGATCTTTGTAGTAGTGCTTTATTAAGACCAACTTAGTCTTATATAAAATATTTTGTCACAATTTAGCTTCGTATAAAATATCTTCGCCTTAAACGATTTTTGATTATCGATTAACCAATCGTATTTTGCAATATCATGGGATGATCTTCAAAAATCAGCCAATCACAATGAAAGCCCGCTATGCTGATTGTGTCATATTTTTACAGATTTAGTAAATACCGATACATGTATCAGGATCTTAGCTTAAGAAATTCGGAAATTTACGGAATCCTAGTATCAGGATTTGATTTAGAGATTTTTGTGCTTGATCAGTCAGTTAGTCGGATACTCGGAACCAACGGGAATTCAGCAGGTATTACAACATAACACTTTTGTTTTTTGTTTTTTTTGAAACTTAAAACTTTCAAATATTTCTTTAATATATCAGGCGGTACCTGTTGCAATGTCCGGTAGAGACATTATTGGTATTGCAAAAACAGGTGGACTTTATTATTATTATCTCGATTAATTATAAAGACTTTTATGAATTCAATTAAACAATTTCCTTTATAATTGCATAAGGTTCCGGTAAAACGCCGCTTTTATTTGGCCCATGTTGACACATATCATGGATCAAGAAGAATTACAAAAAGGTGGACATAATTTGTTACATATATATATTCTTTTTTTTTTTTAAAAAAAAAAAAAAAAATCTTAATCATATATATGAAATTTGTGCTTGTTTAAAATAGGCGAAGGGCCAATTGGTTTAATATTAGCACCGACAAGAGAATTGGCCAGCCAGATATACATTGAAGTCAAAAAATTTGCAAAGAGTTACGGTCTGAGGTAAAAATCAAAAATATAAAATTTGTTCCATATTGGTAGAATGGAATCAAAAACGACGCACACACTACTCTCCCTGTTCCTTCCAAATGCAGAGTTGCAGCAGTTTATGTAGGTGCTTCAAAAATGGATCAATTCAAAGAACTCCGACCTGGTGGAATGGAGATACTAGTGGGTACCCCAGTGAGTAAAAATAAATTGTTTTATAATATTAACTATTTTTGATGATTTAAATTTTAATGAACAAAATTTTAATATATTTTTGAAATCAGGGAAGACTTATTGATATGGTCAAAATGAAAGCGACGAATTTTCGACGAGTTAGCTCCTTAGTCCTTGATGAAGCTGACAGAATGTTTGATCTTGGCTTTGGTGTGTAACATTACAATTTTACATATTATCAATCTTAAAACTAAGAAATATATAATGGGATTCATTGTTATATGTATTTCACTTTCTCAAGAACCGCAAGTCCGTTCCATTTGCGACAATGTTAGACCAGATAGGCAAAGTATGGATCAAAAGCTATTGTAGTAATTTAATATTTATATAAGAATATTCTCATTTCCGGAATATCATGTAGCGTTATTGTTTAGCGCGACATTTCCCAAAAAGTTGAGATTCTAGCTCGCGAAGTAACTACTGAACCAGTAAGAATTTCCATTGGTAGTGTTGGCCAGGTACTTTTCGCATTTTTTATATTTTTTAGATATAATATTTCAATTTTAACAATGTGAACAAATTATAGGCGAATACTGATATTACGCAAGAGATAGAAATTTTGCTGATGACGGATACAAATGGAGTTGGTTAATGAACCATTTAGTATCATTTCGTGTTGGTAAGCTTCACTCTGTCCGCATTAATCAATTGAATTTAAATTTTTAAGTTAATATACCATTTTCTACTATCAAGAAGGTAGTGTTCTCATTTTTGTTAGTCGAAAAGATGGCGTTGAAGCACTTTCAAGCAATTTGAACCAAGTTGGTCATGAATGTAAGTTCAAAATTTCATTTTCAAAGTACCTTTTTGAAGTACCTTTATTTGATAAATCTTGTTTTAATATAAATACATGATGCAGGTCGATCGTGACAAGGTGTTGAAGGATTTCAAAAATAATAAATTTCCTATCATGGTTGCGACTGATGTAGCTGGTGGGTACGACTGAGTGGATTTTTTATTTCATTATATTATTAGTTTTTATTACTCTTATTGAAATTATTAAACAATTAGCAAGAGGACTTGATATAAAGGCTGTCAAGACCGTCATCAATTATGATATCGCACGTGACAGATTCACATGTACATCGGATTGGTAGAATAGGCCGAGTAGGTAATATATATAATAAATTAATTTGAACTAGAAATGAAATAATATATATCATTAGATAATTTATTAAATTGTTTATTAATTTGTATAGGAGAGAAAGGTACAGCTTATACACTTATCACCCAAAAAGAAGATAAATTTGCAGGGGATCTAGTGAGAAATTTAGAAGCATCTGGTCAACAGGTCCCAGACAATTTGATGAACTTAGTGATGCAGGTCATTATTGATTTATAATTTATGAGGATTAGGAGATTATCTTTTTATTTTTATTTAGAATTCGAGATTCAGGAAATCATGAAGCATGATACGTAGAGTTTGCCAGGGCGGCCCCCAAAGTTCACTAAAATGATCGACATCACTGCCGCAGTTGCTGCAGCATTATCATCGATACTCAAAGTTTATCAGCTTTTTTGAATCATTTTCGAACTTTTAACAAATTTAGTTTTTCCTTTGTCACAGTAAAAGGATTTGACGCAATTATGTTCATGGACATATTGCAATAAGTAAAAAAAAAAAAAATAAAAAAATAAAAAAATAAAAAAATAGACATTATTTAGAACGGCGGACTTATCATTTTAAATTATGTAAATCTCTAGTTTTGTACAAACTTTAGGTGGGGTATCGAATTTTGTGTATAGAGATAACTATGCAAATTATTCTATTATACATTTTAAATATCATGTGACTTGTGTGAGATGGCTAACTACCCCGGAAAGTCTACGGACACGTACCGGTCACGTGATATTTCTGCTTACGGACACGTACCGATCACGTGATAGTAAATGTACCAACATAGTTATAGAAATATA